GTTTCTGCTTGTAGGCCTATGTGTTGTCTAATTGTTTGTGTGCCAGGGTGCACGGTTTGCTAGCTTCTAAGAATGTAACATTTTAAAGGCTCAGAGTAATAAATGCCTTTGTATGTGTCAGTGATCTCACATTTCCTCCTTCAGTAGTTCAAAGGGATTAGCTAAAATGCCACAGTCCGAAGAGGCGTCTGTGTAAAATGGCCAATTCTACAGCTACCCTAAGCATCTAGGTTTAACTTTACAACAATAGTAGACGGAAAGTAAATATAATACAATGTCAGTGATACCATTAAATCTTCCCCTATCTATCCATCCTTTTGTTTCACTCATTTCCTCAGCACAAAGATCAAAATCCTGGTCTGATTCAGCCTCATTTACTTGTAATTTACATTAAATGCACTTCTCCCATGAAACTACAGAAAATATCTTCAGTCCTTCAAACAAAAGCTACCAGAGCCAAGGTGTGTGGTCTATATATTATAGAGCAGCATCATGTAAATTACACTTGAAAAACAATGTAAAAGACCAAAGATTGTTTTAAAGGCCCAACATAGTGCTTTTTGAGCCTGACCCAACGCTTAGTGTGAAAATGTAAAAAGGGTAAGAAATAAAGAAAAAAAACTCTTACAACGCAAAATGTTTGCACCACCATTGATTAAGTATACCACACATGTTTCTCTAGAGTAAATTGAGTAAATTGTGTAAAATATTAAGATCACAATTTATGCTAAGGTTGGTTTTCAGGTTTGCATGATATAGCTAAACGTTTTAGTATTAAAGGTCGCACAAGTGGATTTAGACATAGCAATCTTACAAATTAGGACAATTACTGCCTTTTTTTCTTGGGTCAGCCTAATTTGAAAGAGTCCTTCATTCATCATACAAAACAAGTTGTTGTGAATTATTTCTAAATTATTAGGGTCAGTCTTCAGTAACAGGGAGATGCTCTTTAGAATCTGGCATTTCTAAATATCCCAGAGAATCCGGCCTTTAATGTTGACTTGGTGCCGTGTGATGGGGTGTGATGAATGGTGGCCTTGTGAGGAGCAGTGTGGCGTCCCAATAAATCAGGCATCCTGCTGTCCGTACTCAAGCAGGAGCAGAGCCAAGGTTTTGTCTACCATCAACCTGCACCAAAGAGCCAAAACACAGAGAGACTGACGGAAGTACAGAGAGGAGCAAAGGTACACAGAAATACTGGAGGGAAACACACACACACACACTAAACAGATCGCACTGAACTATACAAGGGATAATACGAGGCAGATGCTCCAAGATACTAATTAGAAGCCTGTTTGCCTGTCCTATCGTCACATCTATGTGTGTAGAAGTGCTGTTGTTTTCTGCAGTGAGGGACTGCATACCGTTTGCCTTTCTATAAGATCTGACAGAAACAAAGACATCTGTGATTGAAATACAGCGAATGGATAACAATTAATGTTCTTTTACTCTTTTCCTGATTGCCAATAATAATAATATGTATTTTAATTATATAAAACACTCTACCCTTTTAGCATTTTCATTTCAGGTACTCAAGTTCTTGCTTAATGTTGAATAGACCACTCACAGTTTCTCTGTTAAAAACATCACCACAGCATGCTAAAAAAACAGATGGAAGACTGTGAGTAGAATATAAACATTGTCAAACGAAGACTCAGCTGTAGCTCCACCTGAGGAGACACCATCTATCTATCCATCGTGTGCACACACATGCATCTTAAGCCCTCCTGACAAGCTTTACCCGCAACATAATTAACTGCTGCACGCTAAATCACTGCAATGAGGTGAAACGAGGGAAATAAACAGATATCGTGTCCCCTGTGTGGTCCTGCAAACCCAGAGCTCAGACAGGCAGGTGATCAGACCAAGGGTGAGTCAATGTTGCAGTTTTTAAAAACCAATTCCTGGAAGTCCTTTTAACATTAACCATCGTGACAGCCCTTAAAAGGCAAATCTGGACACAGGGGAAAAGATACTGAACCACACAAAACAAGACGGCAAACAGCAATGGCTGTGATGTGTAGCTCACCGTTCGATTGACGCACGTTAACAGCTATTTAAGGGCTAAAAGCCCCAGACTGAATTGCAAAGTGGAAATTGCTTTCAGTTTGACTGTGAAGTCTCTTTTCAATGAATTCCTAAGCAGAAAGTGATGACTGGCATCAGTTCAGGGATAGCTTCTCATACTGCGAAAGGTCTATGAGGTTAACCCCTGTCAAAACCAAGATGTCAGTACTCATAAGCAATGGGCAGGTTTGTGGTAGTAAGAGTAAACACAGCTGATGTCAGAAGACAGTTGTTTGATTGTGGAAAGACCAAAGATGGCTTTGCTTAGCTTTCTCTTCTGGGCGTCCCCCAGCTGCTGCTGAGCATCATTTCTCCAGCTGTGTTAATAAGAAAGCCACAAATGAGATAAGAAATCCTCCAAGTTTAGTAAGTAAAGATCAATCTCACTGAATGAAAAGGCTTCATATAGGATCCCCACACTACATTCAGCACTATGTTGAAGGGTTATGGAGGGGGAAAGGTTCATGTTGAACAGAAAGTCGTTTCTATAGTAATAATAATAATTCATTTATTTTATATCGGGTTCACACATTATGAGGAGGAAGCTGTGATTCAGGGTATTTAGCTGACAACTGGGGATTTATTCAGTAAACCATGACATTGAAATTCAAGCCAGGTGTTATAGTAATGAGATTTTGAAGAGATATAAAGGAGGAGGAGTATAAACTTCAACTTCCAAATGTATAATTGATCACTTATGATTTATTGTCTAAGCTGGTAATCATATCGTTGGATTTTTTTAAGCCCGAAGCCACCCTGAAGTCCATGATGGATATCAAAAACAACCTGAAATGCAATTGTTCCTACCCAAAGGCATTTTGTGTTGTATGTTTAATATCGGAGAGAAGGCCTTCTGGTCATCACTATATTCATTGTCATTGCTGAGTATCATTTCAATACAACTGCTGTTTCTTTTCAAAATGTAGTAGCTCATTGCATAGGATCCAATGGAATCTTTTTTTATGTAAGGTAATATGAGGCCAGTTGTAGCTGTGGCACTAACAACATTAATTAGTGGCCCGCTGTCACTGAATCAATGTATGGAGGAGACACATCATTTCACAATGGCGTGGAAAAAGAAACAACCTTTGCGTATCGGTCACATCATGGCCGATATCTGATCCACTTAATAAGGGCAGTTTGTGTGCAGAAACTGCTGTAGTGCATCGGAATGGTTGCATCTAACTGAATAATGTTTCCCCATTATAGATCCATATAGGAACCATGAAAGGGGGAGATTTTGAATAAGCCAACGCTTAAAAATAGCATTCTTATAATTACTAAGCTATATAGATTTTATTTCAAAGATGAGGCAGAGGTCCGTGTGTGCGCAGTTAAGAACCGGTGCCAAACTAGATACACAAAAAAATACACATTGTGACAGGAGTAATCCAGGATAATCATTTGGAGTAAGGAGTATCCTCCATTTGTCTAACATTACTAAGAGACAGCCTATTGTAAACACTCACCTCCTTAAAAGTAGGTTTAAATAATATGCTGCCTTGCACAATACATTGCAATATATTAAAATGCAAGCCTTTAATCGTGACAGTCTAAATATTGCAATACTAGATTTTTGCACAGCCCAACTGTCATTGTCAGTAGACCTCTTCTTATTTAAAACAAAACCCTACAGTCTAAGTGCAGTTTTGTTTTCCTAGAATCTGAAGTAAGTGAATAAAAGTAGGCCACTGTAATGTCTCTTTAATCAACACAATGTAATGTATAGCTCAGGTGCTGCTGCTGGGCTTGTATTTAAGAATGGATGTGCTGACTGTGAGGAGGAGGTGGATATGGGAGGAGGGAGGAGGAGACTGCTACTGTAGCAGTGCATCAGCAGAGGTGAGACTACAGCCACTAGATCAGTGTGCAGACTGGAGGGAGGTGATGGAGCTACTGTTGGACATGCACACACTTATGTCTTGCCGAGAGCCTCGTTTTGTTCCGTTTCTAAAAGCCATCTACATTGAGGGAATGTACAAAGATACATGTGGTGGGAAAAGGTAATGCAGCCAAATCAGTGCACATGCAGACTGTCTTTTGCAGTCAAGCTTTTCTTTAAGCATTCATGTTTGAAGGGAAGCTATGTCGGCCAACCTTACTCCAGCTGCCTCTCATGCCGCCAGAGACACACAGACCTCCAGTGGGCTCAGTATGTGTGTCATTAGTGCTGACCCAGATGCTCTGAAACACTGACTGCATTGCATTCCCATGATAAAACTCCCTTTAGCTCATTACACACAATAGGAACACAAAGGCTAATAACCTCTCACATGGAAATGCAACCAACATGAAATGCCTATTACAGAACAAGGGGGCAGTGAAGTTGGGAGGAGAGACAAAGTTTGGGTTGAGAAAGCTCACAATGGGTCCAGCTGCAGAGGAGAAGCAGAGGTATGTGCAGTGCAATCTGATGAGACAAAAGAGTTGTCTGGCGTCAGGTGGAAAGATTATTAGGCAACAGGGAGGTGTATTGCATACAAGCAAACCCTGCATGGACCAGATTCAGCACAATGTCTTACACAATATATGTCAGTGCGGTCAGTAGGGGGGATTCATCCTGAATAATAGCTGTTTGGATGGATGTACTCCCTGACTGCGCAAATGTCAATGCAATAACAGCCTTCTCCATGTCATATAATCATAAGCGCAATGGTGTATGGACCTCTAGTTACATTTGTCTTTGTTAAAAATGATAAAGCAAGCTATCCAGCCATATGCATATTGCAGCCTCTATGTGGATGGTGCACCCGGCAGCAATACATGTGCAGATTACAAAACGCTGCCTGTGTGAAACAAAAGACCCATTTCCCTCCCAAACGTATACCTTAACTCGTCACAATAGATGTTTCTTGGAATATAGATGTGACAGAGGTGAATGCATCACGTCAGCCTGTGTTTTGTTGGAGCAGATAGCTCGGTGCTGTGCTTACCCTCTGCGGCCAAAGCGCACCGGACAAGAAGTGAAAGCATCCCCACAGATAGCAGACAGTTCGCAAGCATCCCCGCTGCTCCGGCTCGCCGCTCGGTCCTCGAACACCTCCTCTCTCCTCCAGCATTCCTCCTCCGCGGCGAGCTCCCACCAGGATCGGCTCCCCGGGCTTCCAATACTTCGGGATGACCTGTCCGCCCACTGCTCAAACCGGGAGCCATATCCAGTGGATAAGTTGCTGAAGTTTCGGTCGTAAATAATACATTGGATCAATCCTCGTGCGTGGACGGGAAACACATCGGTCCCGCGGTCTCGTGGTGGTGTCCAGGGCTGGAGGGGGCACTCGGCGATGAAGGGAAATTAAGAAACGCGCCCTATCGCTCCGCTGCGCTCGGTCCACCCATCATCACCGAGTGGCGCAGGGAGGCGCGCACACTTTGCCAAAGGTTTGACATTTAGCTGTTGTCGGTGAATTGACTCATACAGACCTGCTCCACACGGATAATATGACTGTGGCTGTGCTCCGGTGACGTTTAGCCTCACATGTAAAGGATATGGACGCTGCTTGGTCATTGATAAATGCTAACACCCCCCTGGTCAAACTGAGAAAATTAGCCTCTCTGCTGTTAATTGTCGGGGGAAAGTCAAAGCGAGCAGCCTGCAGGACGACCTCTGCTGGGGGGACCCCGTGACCAACATGTCAGCTTGTAAGGTGAATTAATGTTCAAAACAGATATTTACAATTTTCCTTTGTTCCACAAATATTATGTAGCATGAGTACAATGTCCTAAGGGCTACAAAAAAAGCTAGCTGAAAATTATGTAGTCAAATAAACTGTAGGATGTAGTACTGCCGTACCGCCACAAGATGGCAGCAGTAACCCAGATACTATACTACAAATTATATAAGCAAATAGAAAATCATGCAAAGCCCATTGATCTAGAGTACAACACAAACAACAGATGTTGTTGTATAGTGTAGGCTATTACCATATAAAATACAAAAAAACATTACAAATATATATTTATACTGTTAGCATGTAATCCAGTCAACTGTAAAGTGCTCGTACATATGAGTAATTTGAGATATTGCGATAAAGTCGATTTAACGGCTATTTTGGATTATATTGCGAAATCTCCAACGGAAGATGGAATTTTCTAAGGTATAATGAGCTTTGAAACTATTACATTTCCATTCATTATTTTGTCGAGTAAAAACACTAGCTCATTAAATCCATTATTTGATTGACATAATTTAGATGATCACTGAATCCTTAATATGTAATTGAACCATGCTAAATTAACCAATATTGCCAGGTTTCATATTCTGCTTGTCTTATTTTATATCTGTAATAGCTGCCAGTACTGTCATTTCAAATGTAAGATGTGTTCATTATGTTTTTCTAATATTCTACAGACACATGGATTGGCCAACTAATCCTCAAATGTTTAACAATTTAAAATACAATAAACACCATAAAATAAACAATCGCCTGCCTTTGTTCTTGTTCAAATGAGTTTGAAAACCACTGCAGTAAGATGTGACAGAGTTACTAATCAGCACCAGAGAATCACCTTAATAAATACAATAATGGGGGGAAAAAAGTCAAAAAGAGCTGCATCAATAGATTTTTTTAATTCAAAGTGAATCTTAACAATAATACACCATAACGTCTTTTTTTGACACTCACCAAAAGAGTCACCTGGAAAACCCGCTTAATGTGACAAAGTAGAGAAGGCTTGGTCACACCTAAATCACTGAGAACTAGAGGAAACACTATCGCAAACTGTAAAGAGACATCACATCCATAGAGTTAGTTTTCCCAGTCCTCATACTGTAAATATTGCACAGTGCAATTGCTACATGGCAAACTAGTGTAGCACAAAATAAAAAAGCTAATTAAAACCAAAACAAAAATAAACAAAGCCACAAAAAAAATCTACAGGTATTAAAACAGTAACAGTTCAGATTTCATAATCAAGTCTATTCGATAAGCAACCTAAATAGATGATTCCATAACTTGCAGCGTGAATTAACTCTGAAATTGATACAGATGACCAGAAAAATAAGAGCTTGAGCAAAACAAATCTCATCAAATCAAAGAGTAACACAGTAGTACATTTAGACCAATACAGACCCTGAATTAACATCTCTAAAAGATTTGTTTACTGTTATCAAAGTCATAACATTTGACAAATGACTGTTGAATCTGTTCAATTATACATGAGTCCTCCAAAAAAAAACATATCCATAAATCCAAGGTGTCAATTGTGTGGAAAATTAAACAGTTTCAATATTTCTCTCCTTTTGCATCCATTATTTTCTCTAACAAGTATGGGAGAGTTTATGCAGGCGCATTGCTGGTGAATACCTTTGGAGGAATCAACACACATTTCACATGCTTATTATTGGGGAACTATTTCAAGCACTAATCTGCCAAGTTCATGCCTTGTCATCATAAGCTTTCTTTCCCAGATTCGATACTGGATAATGATCAGTAAAGCGTACAGGTAAGAAAAAAAGCTATCAAAATACATACAACCATATCGATGTCAGTGTTTACATGTGGAGTATTACACTCATGACTGACTGTACAGAGAAACCACATCTCCTTCACAGAGCAGATAAACATCCAGAAAAGACTGGACATAAAGCGCGCTCTTCGGCTTTTAAAGGCCAGTGTTGTTAACTGTGCTCTGGTTACTCCCGCTCTGCCATAACTTGTTCGATGGAAAAGCTGCTCTGAGCAGACAGTTTCGAGGCAGACAAAGTGAAGCAACGCAGGTGAGCATGCAAGCTAATGTAAAGCATGGAGATTATCTAAGAACACTTGGTGGTGCAATGACCGCACAATGTAAAGTATTGCATCTGCTGTTCAGCCAGAGTGACTATCCAAAGATCGTTGAGTGTCATTCAAAGTGTATGTGTGTTCTATCACAGAGGCTTTGGTGACGGCTATCTGAAACAAGAGGAGCGCCACAATCATGCACATGTCTACAAGCGGATCAGAGGATGTGGTTTTTGTTCCGTTTCTTATTCCTGGTTGCGTGGCCATTCAAACACTGTCTACTCTATGGTAATGGGCTGAGTGGATTCTATGCCTTCCTCCTCATGTAAGAGGTGAGGAATCACCATCTTCAATTCTCACTTTGTGAAGCTCAAGGCACATACACAGTGCTGCTCACACCGTCTCAATTTCGGTATAACAATGGCCACAGTTTCGCATTGACATACCATCATTTTGATATGAGACACTCATAAAGGGGAGAGCGATCCGAACACAAGGCCGTTTAGAATAGCAGAATAACTGATATTCTAGCCAGTTATAACATTGAACAGTTAAAACATTGCAATTCATATTTCAAATCAATTAAACGAGTTGTAGAACATTATTTTGGAACAAACATTGGGCTAAATTTATGTTTTGGACACAGAACCCCAAAACCTTACAAGCCTTACTACCTGCATGAGTGCTAAGTGGTGAGTGTGTTTGTGGAAACATTACAGAAGCTTTTCAATGAACATAATGGATTTTTCTTCTGGCATCTCACAGTGCTCCTGTTACACGCAAAAGAGTACTGGTAGTATACTGGTAGTATATATATATAAGCACAATGAAACAGTTAAATCAATCCTGCAAGCTACAGCTTTAGATGTGTACAAAACGTCAATATGAAAACATACAAAAATTAAGTTACATAGATACATCATTTATATGCAGTGATGAGCCCGAAAGGTTAATAAGGATAAAATACTGATGCAAAACACACACCCCGAGAAACAACAAATGCAACTAATGTTCATCATCAGCAATACAGTAGTTACAATGACACTCCAAATATGAACGCAAAACACAAAAATCAAAACCACTTCTATTTCAGATAATTAGGGACCTATACATAAATAGCAACGCTAGGTTTAAACTCAGAAATCACCTAATTTCACAGCTATCGAAGTGGCAATCATCATATAGCAGCTTATCTATGATACATTCAAGAAAGAAATGACACGACTTATTAATTGCCCAAAAAGCTAGACACAACCTCTGCTGATTTTTTAAATACATTTTTTAGTTTTTTAGTTTTAATTTAACCCCATTCTACGACTACAGTATATTTGAGGTTTATGCAAACAGAATAGCTACCTTGCTCAGGAAGTGAATTACAGTCTTTGGTGCTGCACAAGCAACTTCATTTGAAAATAAAAGACAACAAAGAAACACACACATAACTAGTCAAATGAACAGATAAAATGCACACACAGATATATATATATATGTAGATATATATGTAGATATGCTATATATATATATATGCTATATATATATATATATATATAGACTGTTGCTACCATCATATATATGTATATATCCTCCCTGACGGAATGTATAAAATAAGCAGTTGACACCAAGAAGCCTCAAGCCATTAACAAAAGGTATAATGTAAAGGGGAAAGTTAACTGTCACACATGCATAAATGAGCGAATTGCACACAATTAACTCACACCTTATCAAGCATCTGTACTAAATAGTCTAGCTCTATAATATATGTCCATATATGTGACGCGTGTATATCAAATACTGCATGGTTTGCTCAGGCTTAGAAAATTCCATACCGTGAATTCATTCGCATTGTTTCCTTACCTAATCAAAGCCATGCCCACCACACTTCTACACATCTAATAAACAAAGTGAAAACACTCAAAATGAAAATACGAAGACGAAAAAGAAAACTAATCAACGACTATTTCGATTGTATTGCAGTTTCAAATAACAGTACAAATACTGTTTGTAATAATAGTTTCACTAAATAGAAAGTGATGATCAAATATTAAGCGATACTCAGTACTTGCACTTTGTACACTAGTTCATTTGAGGAAAAGGGAGAACGAAGAGAAAAACGGTGGTAATGAAACGGTAAGCATTCGCAACAGCAAAGCATGCTGCTCTTCTTGTAAGAACAGAAAGGTAACTCACGACACACTGAGATACACACCGACTCCAAAAGATAAGCACCGCTATCCGTGATACATCACATCCATGCAGGCTATGCATGGACATATACACGTGTGCATATATATACTCACACATAGGATGCATCGACTGATTGGAATTTCAAGTGCTGCAGTCCAGTACATTAATAATCATGTATAGTCATATATAAGTAGTAACATTAAAAACCCCAAATATGTAAGGCACTATGGCTGGGGACAGTTATACAATGCAGCGAGTCTTGTGACACAAACAATAAGAGCAACGTTTATGCTTCTTTCCGTTTACATTTTTGCTCATGCAAGACCACATGCAGCGTGAGGAACAACCCTATATAAATCGGTTAATTGACTTGACATTGCTAACACTAAAAGACACCGAAAAGGTACAAATACTTCAAACGCAGTACAACATACACTGTGGACGACGTGTGCATCTGTGTCGATCTAGAGCTAGAGACTGGGATGGCTTTACAAATATGGATGTGTCTTGCACACGTAAGAAGGCAATATAGAAAAATAGCTGGGATCAGGGGTGCAAAGTCTAACTATTTAACACCACCCCAATTATTTTACCTGTTTTGAGGAGTATTCGTAGAAGATCCAATGCAAAGATATATATCAAATGTGCAAAACACATTAAGTGTGAGTTTACTACTCATTCATTCTTTCATTCATACATTGTTTCCTTCTTAATTTTTGCCCAAATCATCTCCACCATTGGAACTCTTTTCTTTTTTTTGTTTAAAGCTTGAAGTTCAATTACACCCAAGTCTCCATGTTTCAAAAAATAGCTTGCTCTCTTTGTGGTTGTGCCATGGTTTTGGAAATGAAAACCATGTTGTTTAAGATAACCCTAGCCCTCGGGTGGTATAAAGGGTACCTGGGCAGCCCCGCTCACATGTAGGGGTACTGGTTGATTTTGGTGGGACTGAGGGGGAAACTGGCGTATGCGGGCGAGGCGATGTAGGAGTGCGGGGGGAAGAGAGGCTTGAATTGGCCCTGGGGGTGCAAGGTGGGGGAGGGCAGCAGTCGGGTGTTGATGCCCACAGTGACCTGATGCACGATGCCTGCCGGGTGGGAGATGCTGTAGGTGGGCTGCATGATGGAGTGGGAGGCTACAGGGGACGCCAGCAGGTGGGCCACGGGCGCAGCCGTGACCAGAGGGCCAGACGGGGGGTAAGACAGTAAGGTGGGCTGGGTGTGTGGGTGGCCCCCAAGGTGGGGGTGGGGCCCCGTATTGTGGTTTGGGCTGCTGTGGGACAGGGTGAATGTGTGCCCATGCATGGTGGGGGGGATATAGGCCTGTGGTCTCCGGTGGGCAAAGTTGCCATTCCATTCCTGGTGGCAGGAACCGAAATGCTGCACCTGAAGGAGAGAGCATCCGGCTGATCAGTATCACCATCTTTATCACTTACATTCGTTTCCCTTTCTTTAAGAGCCACTAGATGCTGCTGTCTGTCCACATTTGTATATCGTCTTTTATCAGTCGTTAACAATCCTCATACTGTTCAAACCGTTACAGAGCTCTACTATTTAGTTGTTTTACTAGAAAAGTATTAAATAAAGCAGTATTAGAATAAAATGCCCTCAGCCCCCAAACCCTTCTTATTCAACCAAATCTACTGTGGCAGATGAATCTAGTTCCACTTAGAGTATTAAGTGTGCTCTCGGACGCTGCTACGCTATCAAGAGCAAATATTTGCAATTCAAATGTGCTCTTTTATCACTTAAATGTATAAAGTGTAGTCACAAGCACTTAAGTAATTGCATTGCAGGTACAGTTTGCCAACTTCTTCACATTACAGAAAAAAGGGGTAGATGCAGGATACAATGACTTTAATGAATTAAAAAGGTATTTTCTACAAGCATCCACTAGCAGCTGTGTTTATTGGAACACCCTGTCCACAGCATTACCTCTGCCACTTATTAGAAAGTTATTCTTATGAAAATAAAATAAATCTTTTGGCCATACAGATGCTTATACTGTTTGATCTACTTGTTTGGTTTTCCCAATGTCGGTCTACAGCCAACAACCCTCATCTATTAAGACGTGAAAAGTATAGGTTTAGGTTCCTTTGTGTATATGCATGTGTATGTGTGATACATGTATGTGTGTGCATGTGCTGACCTGCCCAAAGCCTATAGGCTGCTGTTGCTGGGGCTGGAATGCAGGGGGGATCTTCTGCGGCCGGTTGAGGAGGGGAGTGGAGTGGAGATGCTGGCGCCCAGGGTGGCCTCGCCCTCTGGACTGGCATGACGACTCTAAGACTGAGGGCAGGAGGTCATGTGAAGAAGGACGTACAGAGAAAGAGATGACATGCGTTAATTCAGACAATTTGGAGTCCCACTATTTATATCACAGCGTAAATAAGGGCAGGCAAAAGGCAGAAAAAGAAGCAACCAGGGGTTTGATCCAACTACAACTGCAGAAAAGTCAACGCTTGTGGCAGGAGGCTTTGCAGGCTTATCAGTGATTTCAGCTGTGTTTGATCACATCCAAACCTTTAAAAATGGTGGCACCTGTCCTCTGAATATCATCTAGGTGATAATAAATAGATGTGTTTGTGGGGATCTGGGAGGAGTTGGTAACTAAGCTTGTTCATAGAGCTTATAGTGGGGTCAGACCATCAGCTATAAATACACCTGGTAGCACTAAAATAGCAAGCTGTGCCCTTTTATGTGGGGCTTTAGTTGCAATAGATTCATGGTTGGAGGGCGGGTTCCTTTGAAAGGAAAGCTGATCTGACTCTGTAGGATTTTATCAAATATTTATAGTTGAACCATCAACTTTAAAATAACTATAAACAGGCTTTAAAATGTATTCAGTTGCTGAGAAATATAGGGGTGTCCACAGCCGTTAATGAAGCCTACATATAGCATGCGTAACGCCACTTTAACACCAGGAAGAAACATTCATGACAGCCAGAAAACGGCTTCATGTTCTCTGCTTGACATCCAAGCTCCAGATATTTATATCCGGGGCCTTTACCATTGTGGGGCAATTACGCATGTGTTATGTATCTTTAAAAAGTGCACATCCACACAGATACAGGGGCACTCAGAAACAGTCTGGAGCCAGAGTAAGGAGTGATGACAGCAAACAAATATGCACTCCAGAGTTTAAAGCCCATACTTCAGGGCAGGTCACCCATAATCACCTGTGAGAACCTCTGCGGCCTACAAAGACAACGTAATCCCAGGCCATGTGACCTGTGGAGCAGACAGCAGCAGTGATGACTGACAGCTGGCATGACCTGCTCATGCACTTCCATGTCTTGTAAGGGGATAACACCATCAGACCGTAGTCCTGAGTGTGCATCTGAAAAGGTGTCCAGTCACCTGCTATACCGACGTGATCATTTTGGTGTAGAGATAACCTGGGTCTAACACACTGGCCAGGGAGTCACTTCCAGACGTTTTTACTTTAACAAAACACACGTTTCCGCATGTAGGCCTGAAACCTAAATGTACATTTTAGGCAGCTCCATGTCAGAATAGATCAGTCTCGAACACTATTCCTTATTAAACGATATAAAGCGGTGGCCGTGATCGTTTTTGCAATGATCGATGGATGTATAATATGTGTTTATAGCAGTGCATTTTTTTTAACAGAGTACATTTTATTATTTTGTTAATGCGTTTTTATTTTATTTAAGCTTAATCTTTTTTGAATTTGTTTATCTTTTTCAAATGTAAGAACTAAGGGTTCACAGCTTTTTAAGCGGCATTACAATTCTATTATATTATAATCTCTTATATCAGTGGCATACAATTTACTTAAAATTACAAAAATATTGTTTATTGCAATTACTTGCAATTACTTACTACCAAAAAAGGTAGTTATCATGACAGGACTAAGTCAGACTTAAATAAGGATCATAGTGAATGAAGTTGTGTTATGGATCCATCATATATCCAGTTGTACCTGTGTTGCCGTATGTTTCACTGACAGCAGGGTAGTAGTTGTTGTTGTTCTGCACTCTCATTGGAGGCACCACAACAGTACGAACTGCTGGCTTGCTGGGCTCTGTCACCGGGGCGATGCACGCCACACGGGGCTCGCAGTTCTGGTTGCTGTCGGCGATGAAGCGTCGCTGTGTGAAGGGACTGTTGCTATGGCCAGAGGCGTCTGATGTGGGCGAGCTGTCCACCGTGTCACAACCACTCTCCTGTTCGTCATCAGACATACTGCGACAAGGCAACCAATCACAAGGGAGGTTAGTGACATGTCGTTTGTAGGAGTGCAGCCATTAATGTAGAACCAGTAAAAACATGTGTTTGTTTGAATGAGTTGCATTGACCGTACCTGTTTGGGTGTTTGCAGGGGGAGGCGCTGGACTGGGCTGAGGCGGAGGAGCTGGTGCTGAGCGTGCTGTCAGGACTGCTGAGGGAACACACTCTCTCCATACTGACGGTGCTCTGACACGCCTCACAGTCTGCACTACCCTTACACCTGCGTGCAGACAGACACAATAATAAGTATAATACAACATTTCAGAAGCTAAATTAGAAATATTGTAAGAAGTAACATGATGGTCAGTACTCACTCCCCCATCGAGTGTCTTTGTGCGCTCTCGTCGTCGTCGCTGCTGATGCTGATGACACTAACAGTCGGGCTGGCGAGGTCAGAGATCACCATGGCCTGCCGCTGCTCCTGCGAAACTGAGAGCTCCTCACAGTCTGGCTCCACTTTACAGAAGTTCCCCCCCGCCCGCCTGTTGGTCCTTTGCTCCTCTTCAGCAGTGCGCCCTTCCGCCGGGCACCTCGCTTCTACCTGCTGCACATTCTTTGCTGTATCGGCCATCTTTGGGGACTGGCATGCTACATTTTGGACGTTCGTGTTTTGGGAGTAGTTGCTGCCCCTGTTAAAAAAACAAGCCAATTTAAGAGAGGAAGTAACCCTTTGAAGTGAATGAATGTGTGTTTTTTTTGCAAAACTCACATGTTGTACCTGTTCACACAGGGCTTGGCTCTCTTGTTGGCAGCTGGCTGTGGCCACACCACATGTGCAATGCCTATGTTGATTGGCTGGTGGTGGGTGGACATGGTCATTTGGTTGGTTAAGAATGGCTGAGGGTGTGCAATCATGGAGCTGTAATGGTTACCATGGGGATGCACTTTCCTGCATTAAGGAAACAGAAAATTGCAAAAGCCTTTAGCCCCATTACCAACTAAATGATCTCAGTCAATGGTCCCAAGGGACATGTATGACTCATTGATCATTAATATTCAGGGGAGCAGACGTGCTGTCTCAGAGCAGTACTGCCATTCCCAAAGCTGGATATAGAAACTAAAGGTAGCGAAACTCTAAAGCATATTGCTTTAGATCATATTACATATTTTAATTATAAGGAACATATAGAGGGAGGAATGTGGATAGTGCAAAAAAATGATATTGTGATGTAAACGAAGTTACAGACAAACAAATTGCTTACCCCCAGTCACCCAGTCTTTGTGAGCCCGCCACAGAGTCAGATGCCAAAGTGGTTGGTGGGGGGGGCACTGATGTCACCTGCTGCCAAGTGGGTAGCAAGATCTGCTGTGCACTGCTGGGCCAGGCCTGTTGAAGTTAAACGGAGCAAAGCATTAACATCAAGTACATTAAAAAGACACCATGTTTTTGGATCATTCTTAATTAACTTTAAATGATAAATAATGAATGTAACAACCATGTAACTACACTTAACAAAGCCATGCTGTTCCTTCCTCTTTGGCTATGTTCTTTGAGCTCCTTTACCATTATTCCATCCTCGCTACCCCCTTACCTGTGTGATGACTCCAGGTCTGATTTGCATGGGCTGGATGGGGGGTGCTTGAGTGAATGGAGGCACAGACGCCTCCATTCGAACAGAGTAGCCTGATGGTTTAGCTGTGTTGGTGGGGATACCTGCAGGAACAATGGAAAGGAAATGTAGTCTAACCACCACAGATAATAACAAACAAGTGTGAACTAAAGATATAAACCGCCTACCTTGTATGGTTGGGGGACATAGAATCAGAGCCTGCTGAAATGAGTCATTGCATCCAAACTGACCATTCCCGGTCTGCAGTGGTATCCCAGGGTGCATTACTGACGTGGCTGATGGGGCTAATCCCTAAAAAAGAAAAATGTTATATGACTGGGATGCTTTCTTGGGTATTACAATGATCAACAATAGCATCAAAGCGCCAGTAGGTGGTGACATATCTGCCAAGTGTGACCTGCATCTCAGCCTGACCGAGCCCAAGGGTCTGTCTTCTACTGAAAGAGCTTCATGGGTTGGTCAGTCAACTTTACGTATAACCGTGGCTTTTCGGGTGAAAAGTGGCTTACTTGGCAAACCTATGGTAGTTTAACATTGTCACCTCCAACACATGGCGGATATAGTACAGAGGAAGTTAAAAAAAAAAAGGCATCCAAGACCCATTTGCTTAACTCCATGGTAAAATGGAGTCACTATGCTTTAAGGATTCCATCAAGCTAATCTTGATCAATACTTTCATCTCATTAAAACACAGCTCTTTATCTGTAAATATTGCATATGATTGGATAGATTTGTGTATGAGCCCGTTCATAAACAGATTAACCACTTTATCCAGGATCACAAGGTCAGATTGTTTTTTAAAGGTTGATAACTAAAAGGTCGCTAGGAAATGTTGAATATACTCTGAGACAGGCCGGAGGGCTGAACAAAGAACAGTTAAGCATGTGCCTCTGCCTCACTGCTCTTGTGCCTGGCTATAATCACATTTATTGAATAACGAGAACTAGGCCTATATTGTTCTGCCACAGCTCCTGCATGTAGCCCAACCCCCATACACATGATAGTAAACACAAAGCAGCCTTTCACAGGATAATACTAAGAAAGCCTCCACATTTCTTGTTGAATTCTCTTGAGGAAGATAAGAGGAAACATTTACTGCTCCATGGAAACATCATAGCCGAACACTTTTATAGTGAAAAGAATTAGAATTAGTTTTTTTGTCATCAGCTTTTGATTCTAGGAATGAAGGAGCTGTCTAATAGTATCCGTATGTCTGTACTGATGAAACACATGCAGTCACCATTATTCTGTCACAGTTGGTCATCTTTCCAAGTATCATCTTCTCAATAAATACTTTTCAATAAGCATCGTTTTACATTATTGAGATGCAATGCCAAAAACAGGGTGCGCTCCTGTTTTTCATCAGCAACAACAGTGATTTGCACCGTTGCCATGACCTCAGAAACATGACGTGATTTTGTTGCCATGACAGCACTGCTAGGACGCAATAAGATGGGTGAGTCGGCATACACGCAAGCAATAAAGGCGAGAAAATTGTCTACATGATCAGTCTTCACAGGAGCAGATGAACAGAACAACACATTGCATGTCGTCAGTGACCCACACCATCTGTCTATATATAATCTAGTGTTTGTAAAACGTGTTAAAACAAAGTATAATCAGTGTAATATATGTAATGCTTTTATTCCCTGTAGTAAGTGTAATAACACCGCCAACACACATCAAATGAAACGGCAGATTGTAATTAAACAACATCCTGGACTTACTTGAGTGTGAATATTGCTGAATGGGTGGTTGACCGAGGCAGCAGCGGTTGTGGTCACAGGTCTGATGAAAGGAACTTTATTTCTGTTGACCGCCTCATATGCACTGGGGCGAGTCCAGCAAACATCCATGATGTGGAAACATGACTTCACACTACAGAAAGACAGAGGGACTTCGAGTTAGGTAGGAAGGTCAAAATGACACCATGTCCCAAAATCTGAGGCTTATTGGACTTACTGGTTGCTATGGGGAAAGTCGAGCAGGTGTTGCATTGTCACAAAGGGGTGGCTGAGAGCCTCAGCGGGGGAGATCCTCTCTTCTGCATCGATCAACAACATCTTCTTCAGCAGGCCCACAAACTCCCTACGGTCTGCCTTCTCCACCAACAAGTCACTACCTTCCAGATTCATCACCAAGTTCACCTGGAAAACACTTTACTGTTAAAACTGCTGTTGGCTAGAATCACTGTTCTTAAACAGAATAACGTACTCAAAGAAAAAGAGGTAAGGTCCAATGTAAAATGGCACTGTGTATGATGTATCAGTGATTGTTTTGATATGAAACCCATGTTTCAGAATGATAAACAATTTGTCATGAACATGAATTCTCAAGAATCTCCTCTGACTTACAAAATAACCGACCTAAACGAGCATTGATGGTCGACTGGGGAATTTCCATGTGCTGTCTTTTTACAGAGACTAGTAAGTGAAAGTGGGTTTAGCATTTATCAGAAGGGAAGTTGAGCTTAGAGGTGATCTTTAATTTCCCAGTAATGATATGTGTATTGTGTTCATCCAGGTGTGGATGTACTTCCTCTGGGAAACACTCCGTAGCCGGTATTCTCTCAGCAATTGATGTTGAACTTCCTCTGAAGTTCTGTTAGGTACATTGTGGTGATGGCAGCTGAACATACATGCGCTATGTCATCCAAACAGCTGAAGATGTACTTCCTGGCCTCCTTTGATTTCATTCCCGTCTCCGTCTCATGCTCATCTGTTGACTACAGAAAAAGAACATGTTTAGTGGGGCGGCAAAAACTAAATATAGCAAAGCAGTTGACATGCTGAGTCAGGATTTTATGTTTTATGTTGCTAAATTCTTAATGCATGTAAGTTGTGCTCTCAAAATACAGTATTGTAGAACCCTTTGATTTGTTTCAAAGTACGTGAAGCAATGTGACTTATTGGGAACTACATTCTTTGTTTACCCATAGGGGAGCAAGAACATATCTGTTGACTGAGTAAGACGACCTATGATTCTTTACAATCAGCTTTTAGTGAAACAAAACAAGGGTAGAGGTTAGTTGTTTTCAGTAAGTGGCAACAAGCTACGAAGGCATATGCTGCAGGGGTGTAATTAATCCTCACCTTTAGTCTCCGTGCCACATAGGTTGAGTCAGACTCTCTGCAAAAGAACCGTGATGTCTTTGTCCCCACACTCAGTAAATGTTCCCCTGGCAAACCTTGTGTCTGCGAAATGTAGCGAATCTGTTTGACATAGGGAGAATAGCGAAGGAAACAAAGAAATAAACAAAGGAATAAATACATCTCATAGCTGAAATAAAATATATTTTTCATTGGTGTGTTTGAGGAATCAAAAAAGCATTCCAATACTATTTATATTCAATTATGAACATTATTAAACAAAGGTGGGTATTTTCACTGTTTGTCGATTTATCTATCATCCCCACTCTCTGAAACCAAAACGTCACCCGAGAACTTAATACTAACACACTCATGTTCTGATCATTTACAAGGTAATGGATACTGACATCACACGATCAAATCCCTCGGAGTTAAAGTTACATGTACATAACGGGGACAGCTGCAGAGACCTTGAAGATGGCCCATTCCTGACAAATGGTTCGACCCAAGTGAGAGTGCAGCTTGTGTTTATCTCTGTAAGGTGTCATGGTGTTTTCATGTAAACCTTGATAATAAGGTTCCTTCAGTCTCATTGCCAAATGCTCGGCTGCGTAATGATGCTCGTCAGTCAGATGCTGTTGGGCGAGAGTGTGACACGCAGGTCTATGAGAGGAGAGCAGTGAGAAGCCCGGCTGACGTCAATCACACGCATGTGCAAAGGACAACAACCATTAGAGATTCAGCGTTGAAAGCAAGAGCCAGGCAAGGGGAGAACAGAGAGGATCATGAAGGAGATCTAGCTAACCCTTTCCCTTTGAAAAATCACCAATTTAGAAGAAAGGCAAACAAATTATTCCTCACACCTTTACTTATATAAAGTTCCCACCCTGCTGCCTGCAACAAATGAGTTAAAAACGTTTCTATGTGTGAGTTCCCTGACAAAACTCACATTTAAAAAGTGAAAGACAGACAGTAAGAATGTTTCTGTTGGAAGCTCATCATGTGTTATTCTTCAAGTTGCTCCTCCAGGCAAATGTGATGCTTGAGCATTTGGCTTCTATAAGTCTGTTACTGAGGTGCAAATCCTGCAATCACTCTGTTTATGTGGGTGGGACACGTCTATGGACGAGTTAATGATCAAGCAATGCATGATGAATGTTATCTCATCTGCTTAGAGATTTGAATAGGATGGTAGACACCCCCTAGCTTAACACAAGCCACACCAACAGCTCCAAGTATCATAAAACACATTGTGTGACTGTCCACTTCTCCCTTTTGGGGACATTTGTGCTTTCATTTAGTCATTTTCCAAAACATACTGATTAGGTTACATCAACCAAAAATCTTTCTCAAATGTTTTGTCTTTCACATTCACTTTTGATAACTGACAACTCCAAAAAACCTTACCCTGAAAGTACCCTGACTAAATTACCTTCCTTTCATGTCCATAATGTAGCTGTGCTGTGGTTCGGGAACGTCACATAAACAGAAACAGACACAAGAAAACAACACAGCCAGTGTGTGTGGGTGGAACATTCTTGTGATGGGAAAACCCTTGTTTTTCCTGGAAGGCGAGTCACTGCAGAGATCTCACAAACCAGTGAGATCACTGGTGCACAGCCACGGCTCCACAACACAACTATCCAGCGAGCCCGGGCCTGCTGCAGAGCAGACAGGAAGGCCAGGCAGCATTTATTTGATGGCAGTTGAGATAACCATACACACCATAAAATATGCATTTCAATGATATTGCTCTGTCACTGCAATAAATTAAAGTACATCTCAGCTTAGGATAATGCACCATACCTTCCCTGATGCACAATGAATCTCTTCCACATTTAGATTATAGTAGTTTGCACCCACTAACAAACGGGGACATTCTTTCGAGAGACTTGCAACTTTCAACCCCCACTATCGCAAATCCCTTTAGCTTCCACTGACTCTGCCTACATCCTCTTATCCCAACAGATCGCCCAAGTTGCAAGCTAGGCCAAGCCCCGGAGAAAAGAGGAGGCGTGAAAAACCTTGGTCTGCCATAGTGTGCACTGACCCCAATGGTTGCACTACTTGTACAATGGTTGAGATAGCAAGACAAAGTGAGTGTAAAGAGGGCCTGAAGAAAGGTTTAAAAACAACAACAATATGGGCAATGAAGTCATAGCGAAGACTACAGCACCTTGGGCTAATCATAGACACTCATAAGACACTGGCTGAGTCGCGAGGTTCGTCACTGCAAAGGAGTGAGAAGCCTCATGCTGTAGCAAAAGATGGTGTGACTGGGTGATGAGGTAAGGTTGGGAAGGAGCAGGAGTTATAAATACAGTATGCTGTGTGGTATGGAACAAGACCCCCAGCAGAAAGATAAGAAGAAGAAAAGGGGGAGAGGGGGGGTGGCAGCAACTCTCCGCTCCAGCCAGATCACCCTGTGGCCCCTGGATGGCACCTCACACCAGCAGGCAGCTGCCGAGCTGTTTACTGACGACAGTCAGTTGGTTATTTATTTTAGGCGCTAAAAATTTACAAGCTTCTATTTTGAATATCAGTAATATATTTATATCGGAATGAAAGCACATGGAGTGCCAGTTTAGGAATATTCCTGTCCTCAACCTTTTAAACTCATGACAACTCTGGCTTTACTTGTGGGAGTCAACTAATGATTGCAGAAGCACTTTAAAATAGTTTGAAGCTAGGAAGTAAGATAGCAAAACATTCTGGTTTGGATCCTAGAAAATCAAAGAAGTCCTTATATCAAGTCAAATTGGAGCATCTATTTTTTGTTTGTTAAGCGTGAACACGAAAGAAAAAAAAAAGGTTTGAACAGAAAGGGGATGTGATTTGCTTCTGCTTAATCATTGCACCTTTGAGAGTAATCCTACATCAGTGTTGCCACCGATAGAGCTGTGATTTAATGTGAGGATTTGTGGAAGTATGAGTTTTTGTTCTTCACGCTATACCATTTCTATAAAAGGCTTTAAAAACAACAACTGGTAGTGATCTTACTTCATCTATATGTGCATGTACTTTGCTTTAGTATGGCATCCAGAAAACATCAAAATAAGAACTTCATGTTTTGTATTAGACCTATGCTCCTGAACAGACTGCTTTTTTACAAATGTCCATGATCAACTTGAGAACCCTGTGGATGCCAATGGGCCGCAGGGCAAAGAGAAACATTTGTTCTATTTCTTAGAGGCACAGGGGCAAAAACAAGGCCTCTCCAGGATGTGCTTGTGACTTTACTACACTACCATTCTGCTAAAATGGACAAGGGTTTTAAGTTCAGTCATCCCAGAGAACATCCAGAGCCTAAGACCCACTGCAGGTATTTTAATCAGCAGGCAACAATAGACAGTAACATGAGCGGTGCACGATACAGCGAGATGAAACGTAATGCGACAAACTACTTTTCCCTTTAGATTACTAATGCCCTGCACCACAATCCACCACTTGGGTTTTACAGTGTATTTGAATTCAAATTCAGTTCCCCATTTAAAGTACAGTAGGATGATATCCTTATCTGATCAGTCTAACAACCATCTGCTCAAAGCAGTCCCTTACAAAATAGAGGAGGAAGAAGAAAATATGAAACTTTGCGACATGCAAAGTCTGTTTTTGGCTGCTGCAAAAACAGATTCATCAAATTCAGAGTGGAGGTGCAGCGCTCAAGTCAAATCTTTTTCGGTAGTGTTGAGTTATCTCTCCTGTCTCAGTCCTGGGAAGAGTGAAAAATTATGCCTGGCCATAAAAATACTTTGGTGTGACTGCAGTGTGCAGCGGGGCAGATTGCTGTAATCTAGAGTGCTGCATGGGACACAGCAGGATCTGACCCAGGCGGTGCTGGAAGGCTTTGAGTAGATCGGGCTCCAGGGGGAGAGCAGCTCAACATAAGCCCAGATCAGTCTAGTCCTGGGAAGACACTGTCAGGTCTCTGCTTGGGTGGACAGCAGCTCCTAATAGACATACCATCAATCACAATGATATGCCTTTCTGCTCACTGTCACAGATGCCAGCAGATGCAATCCTCGGGGTATGTACGTCACAAGGGAAGCCGTAAATACTGCAATAATTTGTTACTGTAAGTCACATGTCTCTTTCTTCATTCAAACAGTCCATCACTGTCCTTCTTTCTGTGGGGTAATTAGGCTAAAAAGTGTTTATTTCCCTAAACCTCAAGTGCACTCTTCTTCCTGTCCCTTTCTTGCTCATACAAAAAATCTCTTCAGCGCCCTTAAAATCGTATTAGGCGTAGATCTCACACAGATTAAAATAACAGATTTTTCCAGCTGTACACCCTGTGACAATGTTGCATTCTTGTCTTAGCTTCGAGCCATCGGTCATAAACTTAGCTGCTGAATCCCCCTCTCTGCCTTTTTAAAGCAGCGTCAGCTTCTCTTCTAAACTAAATCTTTCAAGGCAGGTCTTTTGGGGGATTTAGACTAAAGTGGTCATCCTGCAAACTCCCACGTTGGGAGCCATGTCTGAATCAGTACCCTGAAGGCAAGTCTGCAATAACAAGCTGGATTGAATGCAAACACAGAAACAAACACACTGAAGCCATTCCTGTGTGGGTGTCTTGATTGGGAAAAGTAGGGTTTAATGAAAAGAAGGAGGCAAAAGAAAAAAGAAAAGAAAGTCAGAGAAGAGACCAGGAAAAATATGCGGTTGGGTGGAAACAGAGGGTGTAACGATACTTGGGCAGTGTAAGGATGGGGGGCTGACCTATAGGAGAAAAGGCTTAGGAAAGTGTAAAACCTATAAATGGAGGCAAGGCCCGCTGTGCCAGAGGAAACCAGTTTCCATGTGCAAATGGTACAGAGGAAAGACTGACTCATAGACACTGGATCTATAAGTAGGAGGTGCTGGGATAAATTGAAAACAGAACAGAAAATGGAGGATAGCAGGCAGCATTCTAGGGGATTAATAACTCCCCAAAAAGTGATCAAATAAGAGCCAACGGCAGGTAAAATGTAAGAGATGGTGAGATGGTAGTTTACCTGGTCGTACTCCAGGGCCCCGGGGTAAAGGGGCCAGCCCAGAAAAAGTTCAGCTACCACACAGCCGAGGGACCACATGTCTATGGCTTCACTAAACGGCAATCCCAAAATAATCTCTGGAGCCCTGTGGAACAGACAAAACACACAACTGTTAGTCTGATGTGACACAATTATATACAGGTTATTTGAAAATAAATAAAAGGCTAATATTAGTAAACAGGGCAAGAAATTAGCCACATTTCAAATATGCAAATGGGTGGGTGATTTGCATCACTCTGCCTGTACAGACATTTCACACAAAGAGGCTCAAATCATGTTTTTGAGCATTATATACAAACATAAAAACAAATCTCTAAAAACAAATTCAAGAACCAACCACTCACTAAAAACAAAATCTTCTCTGAAAAATAAATTAAATGAATTACTTCGGTTTGAGCTATTCTTTATATTTTGCTTTGCTGTTGTTATATTTTCACATGTAATGCAATTTGGTGTTGACAAACTATACAATCAATATATGCATTAATGAAATTGTATTCTCAGTTTCACTACTGATGTATGTATTGCTTGTTTTCTTTATCGGCTGAAGTCTTTTAAGGCTGTGTTGTTGGTGAGTGTTGGCTTGCAGGCGTCAGCAGGCTTAGTCAGTGGGTTAGCAGGTCAGCTGGACGGGTTCACAGCTTAGATGGTCTGCTGGATCTGCTCTAGGTTGATGCGAAATAAGTAACAGTCACTGCGTCTTTGCCTACGTGCTGGCTTGTGTTACTGTTAAGCTCCATAATAGCACTTTAATACTCTCTCACAGGGATGTTAGTGGTGACGCAGGCCTGTCAGCACTAATACAGGTAATGCGTGCTGACTACTGTCAAGAACTTGTTTAGGACAAAGCACAAAGCCTGTAAACAGTGACAGTGCAGACGCCATGATGTAGCATGAACCGTTTTCTCTGACACGTGTATGTTCAGGGGTGGCTTCTAAGCTCATTCAAATCAATAAGACACATTAAGTTATTAGACCTCAGACCAGTACGAGCATATCAGATAATGCGGGAAAAATAACACGGCCGCTAAAATGATGAGCGACATACAGTAGGTTGAGACATAGTACATTTTCCCCATCCCAGGGCGTATGGATATTACAACATCAAGATAATTGTATCAAAACATATATGTTGAGATCATGTTTAAATTATTATTTCAGTAATAAATATGCTTCAGCTCTATTGCCCATAGATGTTCCCATTGCTCAGAATAACTCAAATATAATTAGAAAGAAACTTGAGTGACTGACAGATATCATTTCACTTCCGTTCTGCATATATTTGTCACAAGGTTTACCCTCCTCCAGCTATTTAACAACATGTAAAGAATCCAGAGGATTAAAAAAATCGAAAGTACGTTGAGGATAAGATTTCAATACAATTAGCTCAAGGTTCAAAGATTGCTATTTCTTCTCTAACATACCAACTAAGGCAGTCCCAAGCTGTCATATGTTAAATCCATATCCAACAACTACTCTATGACGTCTTTGGAGCCATATGGGACTGAATGGTTCAGGACATATGGATAGCAACAGCAAATTTAAGACCTGCTAAAATAAGTTTTGGACTTATTTATCACACGGTTCAAACAAATGAACGCAACAGCTGGTGCAGTAGACAACATAGCAGCAGAAAACCAACCGGGCAGTTATGCCAACCATTTCAGCCTCACAGGCATGTCCTATTTATAAGGAACAGGTTTTCCCAGGAGGAGTGAGGAGAGCGAGGCAACATATAAACACGCCATTATAATCATCAAGACACAAGGCTGATACAGGGATATACAGTATGGCTGATCAGCACAACAAGCCTTCACTGGGTTGGTCTAGTTGCTCGTGTCTAATCTGTAACCAAAACCTGAGGAGTAGTGCAACAGCCAGTGCATGGACAGCAACAGCCAGTGCAGCAACAGCCAGTGCATGGATCCATCAACCACTCTTTTTCAACTTTTCAAATCAAGTCGTGCTGAATCAGAGCTTTTATACAAGGCTCAATAATCTGCTTTAATTTACAACCCTTCTCAGGACTCAACATTAACGACTGCCCGATGGCCCGGGGCCATCTAGCATTTAGCTCGGGCAATGAAGCCTCACCTGCTGGTTGCCCGATCGGGCAAAATCCTTAATGTTATGCACTGGTACTGTACTATTTTGACATTAGGACTTGCTTGCTTGTCATTGTATTTTAATATTTTTTTAAAGAAAAATGATGGAAAGTGTTTTGACCAACAACTTAAGTATTTCTTATATGCAGGGTATGCAAGCGAGCAAACACAAACAAGAACAAACAAACAAGTAAAATGAAGAATACAATTGAAATTGTACAATATAATATTGTGGTGGTTCATCTTATAATTCAGTCTAATGCACCAGACAGCATCTAAGAGCTGCAACAATCTAGATGTTCTAGGGCAGTGTTTCTCAAACTTTTTCATACCAAGGACCACTTAACCAATAAAAAAACACTCGCGGACCACCTAACTCCACAAATATCCAAAAACACATCGTTTTTTACAAATCGCCTGAAAACGGTACAAACAAGTGGCCACATGTGTGATGAAGGTGTTGTGCTGGGCTATATCATGCAATCGAAAGTGAAACTTAAGCTCGCTCCATTGCGGAGATATTCCCGCGAGAGTGCGGAAAACTTAAATTTATTTATTTATTTCAAATGTGAAATTTTACCAATATACTCACGGACCACTAGGGGGCGCTCACGGACCACCAGTGGTCCGCGGACCACACTTTGAGAAGCACTGGGGGAGGCCCCCCAAACCCTTCGAGCGTCATTTCGTCCGCGCATTTTTCAGGGCAATCTCTATTGGGCTCAGGGCCATCTGTAAATTAGCTTAGATGGCCCACAGTGCCATCTCCCAAAATCCTTAATGTCATGCACTGCTTCTCTACATCTAGAATTCCAAATAAGCCTGTATTTGGGTCCTGTGAAAACAATAGTTACTATGAAAATTCAGTATTAATGTCTCGACAGGGATACATCATTCTTATCGATGTGACAACATTTTTAAGATTGCCCTGGGCTGTTTTCAAAATCTAACTACCTGGAAGAAATATATCAACCAAAATAATAAAGCCAGTACACACATTGGAAGTCAAAGAAATCTAAATCTATAACAGTCCCATTGCAAGTTAAACACAAAAGGAAGACAAGGAAATAATAGATCATTCAGGAGTCACCTATGTTAAGCTCTTTGTGTATTTCTTGGTCCAATTCCACCGGAGATTATGCAAAGTGTTTTTGGGCTCACGGAGTATATTCACACAGCGTTAGTTTTTGAATATGCTACCGTTCTTTCCCACCTGAATGCACAAAAGCACTGAACCACATAAAATCACAGAGTGAATGAAATAAAACCAAATAGAAAACAGCAGTTCTCCTTTTCTTTGGTTTGGGGAGGTGAGTCAATGTTGCTATGGTTTCACTTCCTAATCAAGAACTCAAGCCTCACGTCCCTCCAGTGAAACCAAATCTATTTTCCATTGCGAGCATATGGAGTACAAGCTGAGGGGCCACCGAATGCTACAGGAGCAAAGGCCTTATGACTTGCAGGAAACGAACACTTATTAATATTGCTAATATGCTGTGTCCCCCTCCATGTGACACTTAACAGTATAAAGTGGGTACAAATAATCAATGAATAGGTGTTCCTGAACAAGCACATATTCAGACAAATGAGAGCAAAAAGGATCCGTACATAAGTATCTTTGAGGCTTCCGATATAACATAATGGAGGTCAAGTTTAACACAGATACAAAATTCCAGGCATTGATTCATCCAAATCCAACTTCGTTTTTAACACACCACACTTCCACAAGATGTAGAGAAAGTAATAGCAAGTGATACATCCAGATCGAAAATTATTTAGAAACACCTGTTAAATATCATGTTTATTCTGGACATTTCTGTCAATTTGGTTATTTCCCACACAATTTTAATACAACTACCATCGGTTTAATGTGCATTGGTTTCTAATGCTATATTGTGCTGCAACTCTATCCGTCTATAAAAGCGGCACATCTTTCTCAGCCACAAGACAAAAAGGTCTATTGACTGATAATGCTTCACTGTTCAAAGGTTTGAAATGAATGACTGAGTGAAACAAGAGTTGTCTACAATATCAGGGTGTTCAAAGGCTTCCATAGAGCCTCGTGTGTTATCTGTGCAAAACACGTCCAGAGGCAGCAGAGAGGGAAAAGACACATCTTCAAAGAGCTTTATAGGACGCACAAAACATTCCATGCTTCACGGCTCACTTTTAAAGTTTCAGCCTTTCTACCACGGTAGGCCTATTGCACACAGTTTTTAAATATGCTCATTAAATTGAACATAGTTAATATAATCTGATAAATAGATTTGATTGAACAGATTAAGAGTGACGTGGTGCGATATTTAGGCCTGTCACGATAATAAACTTTGTTGGACGATACATTTTCCCGGAAATTATTGCGATAAACGATAATATTGTCGGCACCGTTGTAAGACTATTTTAGACCACTGACATAATGATAATATAAAATAATAATTTAAGTACATCCTATCAAACAGAACTTTGTATTGAACATTCAACATTGCAAATGAAATGTGAAATAATATTCAAATATATAAATGATATATAATAAATTAATTAAAATCACACCCATCGAAAACAATCAATTAAATAGACTCGGGCTGGAAAACAGAGCTCTCTCTCTCATATAAATAAATAAATAAATAAATATGAGCACACATTGTCTCACAAGCAAAAAAAAACTTAAAACAACAGTCAAGTGTACTGTCCACTGCCATATCCAAATCTGTACAGTATTTCAAAGACTTCGAGTAAGGAACACCAACATGTTTACATTGTCGGGCAAATGCATCTTTGATTGCAAACTGTAGGGAAGGTGGGGGCTCTCGAGCTGCCGTGTTTGCTCCCAGCTAGGAACACGGAATGGGTAGGTTGTGTTTCAGGTGCAGTTTAAGGTTGGTCGTATTGCTAGCTTTTGTTGCTACCTTTTTTAAACAAATGCGACACACCGCCCGGCTCATTCAAGTGTTCGCCTCGTTGATTTGGCTTAAATCCAAAA